CAACATGGGGTTTAAAAACCCAAGTGTTGAATTATCTCCCTTGATTAAACATGTTTATGAAAGTAGTGTTTTTCATGATTTCTTCTAAATCAGATGTCTATTTTCATTGATATTTTGGATTTAGAGAAACTTTTAACACTTCTATTAAACCCATATTTAAGATTTGATTGCAGTGTTAATACTGCAATGCCACGCCCAACCAAAGATGACTACAACCAGGCTAACGATGATACGAAATGGAGCTACGCTACAGGAAGTTGCAACTGTATTTAAAATAAATAAATGGGCTTTGCAACCTTAAAACTAACGTCTGAAGACCACTATCTGGCAATCCGCAGGTAACCACAACCAGGCAGGACCGTCAGACACCCACCCACCCCCCCCCCCCCCTTCATCATCTCATGCGATTCAGAACTTGCTGTAAAAACTGCTGCTACAATTGCTGGATGAAAAAATCAGCATAAAAGTGCATAAATTGTTCTCATGAGACTAAAATGAGATGATATTCCCCCACGATATCCGTACATTGGAAACCCACTAACATTGAGACTTTGCACAGTCAATATTGTTATGCCCCTTGAATTTGGGGGCAATGAAAATGACCTCAACTTGACTTTTCAATTTGCAACATTGATTTTTATCATAACACACTATAAAATCGCTTAAATAATACAAGGTTTAAACTGAAAACTTAGAATTTCAAATTATTCTGATTATGCGTTTCTTTTTTTGTTCAGTATATATATTATCGATTCATTAGTGGTGTATAGTATAATTATGAGTGAGTGTTTTACATTTCACTTTTCTGTGACACAAGGGGTAGACCTGAAAAGCTGGAGACATCCATTCAGTTTTTTTAAATAATCATTTTCTCAAACAAAATATTTACATCTAGTAATCCACGCAAGAGTCATTTGATAAGCCTGTAGAATCCATTAGAAAATTCTCTCCTACACCCAGTACCATTAACCCTACAACATGTAATTTCACTTTTTTAATTTAGGTTTGAAATAATACTGCATAATATTCTTCATTTTATATTTGTACCTTTGTTTCTGAGCATTGCTATTTTCAAAATCGCACAGCGATCATGAGCACTATGAGCTTGGAACCGAATTGTTATAAATTCAGTCTTGTTAATCATGTATATAATGACACCCTAGAATAACAGAATCTGGTTTAATTTTATGAAATGGATGGTTTTAGAAGCATACCAATAGAACTAAATTAAAGATGACATTTACAAAAATTTATTAAGAATTTCGAACAAAGTGGTTCGTCGATTTTTTCCTCATTAATTAAAAAAAAAAATCCAGTAGACAAATTAATATACAGTGGAGTCTCATTTATCCGGACGCTTTGTTTCCCAGGCAATTTTTTCGGATATGTGAAGTGTCCGAATACCTGAATCACCAGTTAAACAAGACAAAATTACATTTACAGATTTCGTTCCAATGAAAAGTCGTCCGGATACTGAAGCATCCGAATATCTGGGGTCCGGATATCTGAGGGTCCATTGAAAATGAATCATGCAGTTTAATATATAGATTTTGTTGGGGTAGATGTGGGTTGAAAATTACATATACCGGTAATTTTTCATGCCTAAATATACAGTCAGTTAAATATGACTGTTTTGTATAATATATTTCCTGACAATCTGGCTGAGTTTTGAAATGTTTGTTGGGATGTAAGCATCTTAGAAAATTCACCATATTTTTTATGACTGAATTGTAATAAATTTCCTTCATTCTAAGATTTTGTTTTCTAATTTTATTTACGAAGTGAGTTTTACAGAGTATGAATTCCATTCTTGTCCCATGCCAGCAGCTTGGATATGCTAAGCCTTGTAAAGCCTTACATGTTACAGAAATATAAACGGACAACCCCACCCCATCCCCTGCACTGTGGCCAAAATAAAACAAAATGCAAGCATATTGTTGCGGTTTTATGTCGTGTATTATAATCATCAAATTTTTTCTGTCAGTATTTAAATGTAAAAATAAAACCCGATCCTGAACTTAAAAGGATTTTTTTTATCAATCAAACAAATAAAATCATATTACGTGCATATGTAATAATATTTATCCATAATTTGATAAGAGGTTAAACAACATATTCCACACTGTTAACAGCAATGAGTTAAGTCCAGTGATGAATTGGGTTTTTAGCATGATAATTGATCTGTTAAAGACATGCATTCAATGTTGATCGAGCTTTCGTGAAAGACAAAGTTCTTCATGGCGTTAGGGATTAATTTGCAGATAATGTTTAAAACATTTGAACTCTGTGTAAAAAAAAAAAAAAAAAAAAAAAAAAAAACACGTAAGTACCAAAGAGTAAAATGTCTATCGAATTTGGAGATCTTGAAAATAAATAGCCATACATATAGTTTAGAGAACTAAAAAAAAAATCTTTCATTTTACAGTACAGTATTTTATTATTTTGTTGGATTTGAAAATTCGTCTTTTTCAATAGAGTTTCACATTTCTCAATATTAGATACATAGATTCAATATAAATATTTTTATCCACCCTCCATCCTCTCTCTCTCTCTCTCTCTCTCTTTCTCGCCATCTTACTCTCATCAGATTTACTTGACCAACTCTATTTAAGTTAGAACATTTTTTTATTCGGATGTTTTACTTGTTTTAATTCCTCTAAATTGAAGTGTCTTTGTGCAACAATAAAAAAGGACAGAACAACATTTTTAAAGTTTAATTTATTTAATCATGATTAATGATACGGTAGATACTATACATGTATATTATTTTTTTTAAAAAAAAATGAAATTCGTGCAAACAAAAAAAGCTATAAATATGAGATTTGGAAAAAAAATTTGAAAGTCTGTTCAATTTTACAGTTTTCCTTTCTTCTTTGTTTTTCCTATTCTACATTAACAGGACCTAATTGTACAAAGTACAACAATATATTTTTTTTTAAATTTAAAATATTAGTTTTATGCTGACAATTAAAAGTGTTTTTATTTAGTAATAAAAGATCTCTTTTATAACCCAGGAGCAAATTCGCTTATATGTTAAAAGTCCCTCTCAGTGTTGCCCCTTTTACATCGATGGTTGACATCAGAGTTATCTCTCCTATTTTTTATCTAATAGAAAATACAAATATCTTGACTGTTGTTCTAACACACTTTGCTAGATTTGTAACAACGTGGAAGGTGTATGTTTAGTTTTGGCATTAGTATAAACAATTTAACAAAAGTTTAAGCAGTATGCACCGATGAATCAATGTTTACATGTGATCGACGCGATCGCGATGTATATATTGAGAGTGGTGGAGCGGATCTCAAAAAAGGAAGGCAATTTTCCTTTGCAACATTTTAACAATATACCCCTTTCTAACATGTATCCTAAATCTGGTATAAATATGTAAATAAGATTTATTTTTCTAGAGTACACATGTTTATTATCCTATCAGTTAAACACCGACCTTGTCGACAGCCACATGTACATGTACATGATGCATGATGTCGGAAAACTGTATTGGTATCAGAGACGAATAATAGGTGCCTAGATATATTTGTTAAGAATTCAAACCAGTTCTAAATGTTTTTATTTATATCTATTAAAATCAGTGGATTGAAAGATTCAGACATTAATTAAATTAATTTATAAATAAAAATAATTTAATTTCACTTGAATCAAGCAGTTTCATTGGCTGGATCATTCAGAGGAACATATAATATTTTGGATAACATAACTTGCTTACGTCACAATGAGTTACGTCAAAAACGTATTACTCCGCTTGACGTTACTTTTAAAATAATGCTCAATTTGAAGTCTTTATCCGGTGGAAATATTGTCTCATTGTCTACACTGGAATTAAATTATAAGGAATGAAGCTAATTTCAACTTATGTTATCCGATATAACAAAACTTGGGGCAGTTTACGCTTTTTTATAAACCGCTTCGCGGTTTATAAAGCGTAAACTGCCCCAACTTATGTTATATCGGATAACATAAGTTGAAATTAGCTTCATTCCTTAAATAAATTCTACTTGTTGGAAACAGCGATAAAAACTCTGGATGCGTCAAACCTCAAAACAGTTGGTTAAAATAAAATCTGCGTCGAAGTTCACCGTCTGCAATGTCACATCTTTGTGACGTTATTTCTCCGTTTTAGCAAAAAAGCCATAAGGCCCTTTTGTCATGGGCGCAGCAATCATATATATATTATTTATCTAGAAAATTGATTGAATAAACAGGTTTTGAAATTCAAAGGCAGGCAAAGATTGTAAGAAAAACTTCGAGCAGGTTCAAATTATTTCCATGACTTCATGTTTATTACACTGTAAAGATAATAAAGATAACAAATCAGTCAATTTAATGTATAACCAGTTGCTGTTAGTTGTAAGCAGTGAACAGTTGGCAGTTAACACTGCATGGTTTGCAGTAAGCAATCAGCTGTCAAACCTGGATTTTTATAGGTTGTAAATGTTGTTCTCAATGCAAAAACTATACAAAAACTCTATGAGTAACAATGATCGTGATACTCGTGTTAATTAAACGAGCAATTACATTCATTTGATTTTTATTCGCTTTGTCATACATGTACCAAACCATGATCAATAAACTAATTTTTTTTATATACTTTCAATGAATAAAACATGAGTACATGTATTAATTTTAGTAATATTAGTAGCCCTTCTCTAGATATCATTTGCTCGTGACACAAGTACATGCTACAATCCAGGAGAATAGATCATTTCATTCACATGCTCTGCTCTAAAAAAATGAATAATATTTGAAAGGTATACGTAAATAAAGTCCTTTAAAACATGTGAATTAAGTTTTTTAATGACAATATCAGACTTCGTGACAATATTTTTTTTAATAAACAGTCTCGTTATTAAAAAATTGTGCATCGTTTGTTATGTTTACCATGTTTCTAAAGATGGTCATCTTCCCAATCATCCTGGTCAACAGGTGTTGGATGGAAACTTTGACATTTGTAGCCACGTGGAAATTGGTATGATTGTATTAATCGACGTTCCCTATCAATAATATTATGACTAAGAGAAACTACTTAGGTCGGAAGCCGGTGGTCCGAGCGCTTTGGCTGTCCAACTGCCAAACATTTTCTAATGACAATGAATTATATTGTATCGATATTTTTTCTAGGTATTTGACTGACAATGAAATAGCTTGGATTGACGAAAATACTTTCCGTGCATTGCCAAACTTAGAGATATTGTAAGTTTACAAAAATATGTTCTTTTCTTCAAAACAAATGGTTAAAATGCAATCGAAGTATTCCAGAATGACTATATTTGCTCAGTTCCTGAAAAAATTTTCCCCAAATGTCCCGGCATGAAACCCAAAATGTGTGATTTCATTCTTCTAATTATTCTTCTAGAATATTTTTTAAATAAATGAAAAATCTATGCTAGTGATTTTTTTACCCATTTTTAATAGACCTATTACTTTTCCCTTGGTATTGATAACAAAAAAATTCTCAGGTATTACGGCTGCATTTCATTTCGAGAATTTTTCGTAATCATCAACTTTTCATTTCCGGAGCAAAACCTTGATTTGAGTACACAAGTGTTTTTGACATAAGTTTTGTGCTGTCACTGACATTTAATCTAGTGCACATTTAATGTGTTGTAAAAGTTGTATGCTCATTGAAGTCTTTGATACACCAAAACTTAGTGTGATATATATGTGTATATGTATAAATATACTTTTTATCAATAAATAAATATAGTTATATAAAAACTTTTTATCAATATTTTGCGACAAAAACTTTTAAAATTCCATTTCGCTTACTTGGAAAACATTGAATTTCCGGACAGGCAAACTCCGGAAATGTAAATTATGTCGGAAATGAAGAAATAAAATGTCGGAAATGAAATAAAACGTTGGAAATGCTATGCAGATTTCCAGAAATGAAATGCAGCGAAAGTTCTTCTCTTATTGTACTCCGATTTTCGGGTTCTTCAAATCAGACATTGACTTATTGAAAATGCTCACAAAAATGTCTCTGAATTCTCAAGGTTTAGTGTTTATACATGTTTATACATGTATCCACTATTACTTCATCTTTAAAGTTAATAATATTATGAAAAAGAAATTAGCTTCATTTTGCGACTTTTCGAATTATATTATAAATTAAAGACTTATCCTTTCTTGGCTGAGTATCAGAGTACTTTAACGACGTTTCTGCATCACTTTATAAATTTCTGGGTTGCACATTTCGTAGCATTTTCCACGTGTAACGTTGAATATTCGAAATGTAATGGAAAGCTTAGAGAATTTAAAAGCACAATTAACCCTTTCGCTGCCAACGTAAATTTTTAAATTGCCAAAAAACGTAACGTCACACGTAAATGACGTTACAATAGTTGTGACTTATCAAAAAAAAAAATTCGGGTTTACGTTGTTTCAATGACGTAAATCGCACCTGCGTTATGTATAATTTTAACAAGGCGAGGAAGAGCTTGTTTCAGCGCATGATCTTAGACCATTTTTTTTTTAAAGAAAGAGACATTTGTGCAATGTAAGAGAATTGAACATAACGTCATCTCCAACACGTACACAGGTGCACGGTCGATTCTTTATTTTTTTTTTTTTTATTAAAATACGCATTGATTGATAATTTGGTAAATTTACTGTGAAGTATATGAAAGAAAATGGATGTATTATAGCCATTAAAATTATTTGGGAAGATGAATTGGTAATTTTTTCGTTTTCGTTTACTTAAAAACCAGTCATATTAGTCTGAAACTCTACACTGATAAGAAGATCGTGTAATAATTAGAGGTTAACGCCTTTATCAAGAAATTAAAAACCTAAACCAAATCGCGTGTATTTTATTGCTATACCTTGCTGTTTAGAGAATTTAAATACTGTTAGGATATTTTTGACCTCCTGACACCCAATACATTTATGCCATTAGATACTATAGTACATGAAATAAAAAATTCAATGTGTCAAAGACATTTCTCATTACTTATTTTTTTTTAATAATTGTTTTCTAGGACATGTACAAACTTTGAAAACTGATAGTCTGAAATAGAATAATCCTTACTTTGTATGCCTCTATTGTTTTCCCAAGTAAATTGTGAATGATTAACCTCAACCCTTATAAGTACTTTTACTTTATTTTCAATCTGTATAGAGTACATATTAAACGTAAAGAAATGAATATACATGTATTCGCTTTTCGCTAGAATTGCCAATATTGAAGCATTATGCAACAATTACATAGTTATAGGAAGTGGATTGACATTCTAGATTTAACGTGTGCACTGGGCGATAGTATTTCGTTTAACTTTAAAAATAAATAATGAGAAAGTGCATTTTTTTTTTATTTTTCAAACATTTTACGCCCTCACCGGCCTCAAACCGCGGTCTGCCCATATATACAGTTTACAATATTTACAGAAATCGGTGGCGAGTTCAGATTTTTTAAAAATGGGATACGAGTTAGAAACAACCAGCTCAAACGTGAAAAAACATATTTTCAAACTTGGAAAACATATATTGTGTACCGGGTATAAACATGTATATGAATGAAGGGGAAGGGGGGTGGTTAAGTTTTATTTTTTTCAAATACACGACTCTCTCCTCATACTTTTTAAGTTGGCTCTGCATTTCCTTAGGTTGGTTTTTCGTTTCTTTTGCATATAGATATATAATTACTCAAATGGAACATTTCAAAACGAGAGACCCCCCCCCCCCCCCAAAAAAAAAAAAAAAAAAAACTCGCCTCATGAATGGTACATAGTTTTTAAAACTTAACATCTCAGGTTAGCTGCAGTCCGTCAGCTTTGTATATGATTCAATGCATCTTTTGATACAAGATTAAACAAAAACTGCATTTTTGATGGATGGTCTACTCAAGCATAGATCAACCATAAATTATAAGAATCACCCTACATGAGATCACTTAAGTTAAAGATTCATATACTATCATATCACCTTATTTTTTGGTAATTAATCCTTCCTGTTGATTTATTATCAACTTGCAATACTCGAGCAGGCCCATTTATATTTTTTAGTTTCACCAGTCCACTTGCGATCTTATGTTAGGAAAGAAAAAATATACAGTGACCCGTTTCTTCGCTCAACCCTCTTCCGAGTGTCCGATTATCGGGCGTTATCAAAATCTTAAATAAATGTACCGAATTCCAAGATAGCAAGATCTAAGGGTACAAAACACAAACAAAAATTTGATGCATGGATTGATTGATTTAAAATGACATAAATAATGAATCCCTAAAATATAAAGAAATCGTAGGTTTTCTTTGGTGATAAGATATGATACTTTGTCTTTATAAGTCTTATAAAATTTCCATAATAGACCTGGTTAACATTATACTTGTTACCGATTTACATTAATCTATAAGAAATGTTGCCGATTTCTGAAAAAAAAAAATGTTTGTTTGTGTTATTTATCCTTTTAATACTGTAGACGTCCTTTTTTCCACGGGGTCATAATTCCGCAGAATCTCAATTTCTGTTTAGAAACGCAGGTAGAAATTTATTACGCGGATTTTCTATATTGTCATTATATGCCTTACATTTATATCAAGTAGGCTTGGACAAATCTCCGCGGAAAATCTGTGACCGCGTACGTAGCGTTAATTAATACCACGCGGAAAAAAGTACTTATACAGTATTTTAAACATTTTGTATAAATTCACCCTTGTAAAATTTAAAAAGAGACTTCACAAAATTTCACACCTTTTGGAATTTTGTACCTTAAAAAATATCCATCGTAACATAAGTATAAAGGATTGGTGGTTTTATAAAACTAGCAGCTTCAATGTAGCTCCCTCCCTTTTTTTTGGGGGGGGGTCTCCAAAAAATATTAGATAAAAATTGGTAACTGTTATTTAATAAATTGAGATTTGACACCCCCTTAATTAAAGAAACATAACAACAACACCCCCCCCCCTCTTTTTGCTATACTAATTCAACTGAGAAAATCAACACTTGAGAATAACTGAAAAAGTCTATCAATAAGTTTAAAGCATTATTTAAGGAATCACTGTCTAGTTTTGAGAGTATGCCATGGCATCAACAATGGTGGGAAACATGGGATAATCTGCTAAAATTATTACAAAATGTAATTTTGAACCCAACATTAATGTAGCGTGGGAGAAATTTTCTGACAAGTCGGAGTTTTCAACTAGTGGTCAACTCTTGTTTTGCATGAAATTTCAAAGTATTAGCATTCAGCTAATGGTCAACTTGCCGTTTTATGCAAATCAGTTGATCGCTTTTCAGAAAAGCATTCAACTTCAAGTGGTCAACTGTTTTTGCATTATCAGTTGACGACTAGTTGACGGTTAACTACACATTTTCGTATGGGTTTTAGTTAATTTTTGGCAGTTTCCCAAGCATTCGATATAGGAAGGTAGTAATCCAAACACACGAAAAATGGCGACGTTTGATGCCGTTGCGGCGCACCTTAGATCTAGAGCAGTTCAGTTTGATTAAGATGTTGTTATGACACCTGAAGAGACTTTAAATGGATACAGAAGAAAATATAATATCACTAGATCTTAGGTATAAAATTTAATGAAATGGAATTTTATTATAGCTAACTCTTTTAAGCCGGGCTTATTGCTAAAAGAGCAATTGCCGGCTTATGTCATCCTGTTCAAGGCAGGAAGTCAACCCAATAGTCGCCATTTTAAAGTTACGTGCAAAAATATAGTTCTTACTTTCAACCGCTTTTGAGATAATACAAAAGCAAATAAAGCAACAAAAATAAAACGAAGTTTTATCTATATAAATAAACATTAGTAGTAATGACTTTGAAAACTTCAGTCCTAAGTCATAAAACATAGTTCAATAGCGTAAGGATTTTTGATAATCACTGTTATCGTAGTTCTCAATCGGCAATCCTCGGCCGACTCCGCTACGCTCCTTTCAACCTCGGATGTGATAGGTGGAGGAATACGCAATGTTCAGATCGCTACATTTCTCCGCCGGAAACGGCCTTGTCACTTATTTCAAATTTCGCTCTGCCTAAAGTTCTTAGAAAAGGTTCCTTTATTAATGTAATTCCTTGTGTTAATTACAACCAAATGTTAGTATTCTTTGAAAGCAAGAACATGGTGTTGGGCGTGCATCAAAGTAACTCGGATTTCAAAAGTATAATATTTCAATGAAATTCAAGTAAGATCACATGACTGAATCAGCAAGATGGAAGATCACCGTTGACGTCCGAGGTTATGTGCGAGGTACGAGTCATCCGAGGAACTCCGATTGCGTAGTTCTCGACACATACGAGGTAAAGCAGGAAAGGGAACCAGACAGGTCTGTTTGTTTACATTCAGCTGTGGTACCAGAAAAATTCTGATTCTGACAAAATCGGACCGTGGTATTAGGATTGGAAAACTCACTGTCAGTGTCTTATCATTTATATTGATAGTTTTAAAATAATGTTTTCATCAGAATATAAACATGATTCATGTAAGAAATTCATTCTCCTCTGTAAATGAGCCCGGCTCTCTGTACTTCTGAGTACTTTGATTTGTTCGAGTCCCCGGGTAGTAAGAGCACACGAGCAAATGCTATTGTAATGGCAAAAGACGCTGTCACTTTCAGTCGTTGATACTTGTAAGATTGTTTACAAGTTGAAAGATGGTGAGAAAATTGTCCGTTACTTATTAATTAATCTTCACAGGACCGCATGTCGCATTTGTGTGCGCAGGTTTGGTTTCTGAACTGATCATGGAGATTCAAGTATGTGCATCAATGAAATTCCTAAATGTATAGTGGACTTATCCGACTTAAGTTTTAGCAAGGATGAAACATGACACTGCTTTAGACAATTTTACGTTAACATCAGTCCGCTTTAAGACAACACAATGCATATAATTAAATCTCATAATTTGTTTATTTGCATGTATTTTTACATCCATTTGAAATTTGCTATGTATAATATTAAATATCTACTAAAGAGTAGTAAAAATTTCGATACTTATTTTTCATTTCTTATTTTTTAAACTAGACAACTTGTCCACGATTTTACCGGACAACCCTCGTATATGGTCTTGTCTCTACATGAGCAAAACATTCTTGTAATTTGTGCATTAAATCAGTTCTCAATTGACATATTAAGAAAACTGATTTTTACGACATTCTTTTAAATCATTCCAATATTCTATACAGTGTATGTAATATTTTTTATTATATTTTTTACCATAGGGACATGGAGAACAATAAAATTACTGTATTAGACAAAAGATTTTTCAAAGGTCTTCCGAAAATAAAAAGATTGTAAGTAGACATTCTAATATTTATATTTTAATTATAATCATTTGAAATATATATGAATTTATAGTTAAATGCTTCTGAAATCGAAGATGCAGGACAATGGAATTAATTTTGGTCTCTTTCTCTGTCTTTCTGTTCATCTTTTCGAGAAAAAAAATAACTTGTCCCTATTTTGTCAGTAGAACTGACATCTTCAAGCTGTCTCTATATAGAGATAAGATCTTTTTGGTACCAATATGACCTTTCACCCCTAAAGAGTTTAACTTCCTTTTGCAAACTAACGAAACTTTAATCCTAGAACGTTGGACCGGTTTGTACTTAGTATAGAGCTTTTGATTTTTAAAACCTTTTTGACATTTAAAAACCTTTAATTTTGGTCATAACTTGTCGACAATTAGTACTATAGTTTGCATATTTCACTGATGTATTTAATGTGACAAGGATTTATTTTCGGTTTCAATATTTTAGACGGTGATTTTTGAGGACGACATTTTTTTCAAAACTTCGCTTACATTCCAAATGAATTGGTTTATATTTCACATTTATATCTTGTTAGAAATGTTTTCTATTACCAATTTATTTTTAACCATTGAACTAAGTTTTAGATTTTTACCTGCAGTAAGTCTTGGACGTGAGTTTTCAAAAGGGACACACGGTGTTTCAATAAGATTTTCATGCAATACATTCATACTAAAACACGTAATGGTGACATTCAATGTTTTTATTATTTCTTCAAATCATTGAAGTTATTTTGCATAACAAATCCATTATAGAGCAGTAGAAGACAACCCTCTGCACTGTGATTGCATCTTAGCAGAATTTGTCATGTTTGCCAAATCAAGAAACTTAACATTGAAGTTTGGCATAGAACCGAAATGTTCAACTCCGAGTAATCTGACAGGAGTATTGTTACGGGATCTGTCCTCAGAGGTCATGGATTGTGACGTCACTACAGCAACAACACTAATAAAGAAAACGACAAGTAAAAACTTAGAAAACGCACTGATTTGTCTGCGTGTCCTAACACAACATATCCTTTAATAGACACATAGACAACATATCCTATAGTAGACACATAGACAACATATCCTATAATAGACACATAGACAATGTATCATATAAAAGTCACATAGACAAAATATCCTATAATAGACACATAGACAACGTATCATATAATAGTCACATAGACAACATATCCTATAATTGACACATAGACAACATATCCTATAACAGACGCATGGACAACATATCTTATAAAACCCGCCTCTTTTGGAATGAACTGAAGTTGAAAGGTTGGGTAGGTTTACAACATAATGTAAGATTGATGTTGCAAATTAAGGAAATGAAAGACAGGATAAAAAAAGGATAAATTAAACGTGTATTTAAACCTACTTTACCTCTGTATATTTGTAAATATTATACTTTCTTGTAAATTGGATGAATCCGATTCGTCGAGAAACAATTCTCAAAAAATCACAATTAACAGCTGAATAATGAAGCCTCGCCCTGCGAGTCAGCAGTCAACCTTGCTTGACGATGGGTGATATTCTAAAACAATGTTGACTACGCAGAATTCTTGCACGAAAGGTTCACTTTAATATTCATTTATATGTATAAAACGTTTAATGCTAATAAGAAAAAACAAGATGTGTTTGTAAAACACTGATGCCCCCGTATGGCAACATAGCAAAGATTAAGCTTTTATTAAATGCAAGTTTAATTAATTGGTACCAAAAGTAGGGTATTCTCACTGGAAAACAATTGTGAAATTTGAAAGTAAGCTAATGTTAAAGGTTTTTAATAAGTACAAAAATCTCCAAGGTCAAGGTCAAAAGGTCAATGTAATTAGTATCAAATGAAAGGTCTTGCCACATAAAATACTTATGTAGAGCATGAAAGCCCTAGCCCGAACCGTTCAGACGTTATGGTTAACGTTCAATTTCTTAAAAAGTAGGTCAAATTCCAAGGTCAAGGTCAAAGGGTCAAAGTTATTGTTATCAAATGAAAGGTCTTGTCACAAGGATCAAATATGTAAAGTATGAAAGGAACTAGCCCTTAGTCTTTAAAAGTTATGGTCAAGTTCGCTTTTTTAAAGTAGGTCAATCTCAAAGGTCAAGGTCAAAGGGTTAAGGATCTTCATATCCAATGAAGGATCTTTTCACAAGGATTACATAAATGAAGTATAAAAGCCCTATCTCTTACTGTTCAAAAGTTATTTCCAAGGTTAAAGTTTTTCACAAGTACAAAAATCTACAAGGTCAAGGTCAAAGGGTCAAAGTTGTTTGTATCCAGTGAAAGGTCTTTTAACAAACATTACATATGTGAAGTATAAAAGTCCTGGTATTTACTGTTCAAAAGATATAGCCAAAGTAAAATTTTAAAATTTTTCTTAAAAAGTAGGTCAAACTCCAAGGTCAAGGTCAAAGGGTCAAAGTTATTGTTATCAAATGAAAAGTCTTGTCATAAGAATCAAATATGTAAAGTTTGAAAGCACTAGCCCTAACTCTTTTAAAGTTATTGTAAAGGTTTGCTTTTTTAAAGTAGGTCAAGGTCAAAGGGTCAAGAATCTTCATATCCAATAAAGGGTCTTCTCACAAGGATTACATATATGAAGTATGAAAGCCCTATCCCTTACCGTTCAAAAGTTATGGCCAAGGTTAAAGTTTTTTCACAAGTATTAAAATCTACAAGGTCAAGGTCAAAAGGTCAAAGTTGTTGGTATCCAGTGAAAGGTCTTTTAACAAACATTACATATGTGAAGGATAAATGTTCTAGTGTTTACTGTTCAAAAGATATGGCCAAAAAAAAATTTTAAAATTTTCATGTAAAAGTGGGTCAAACTCCAAGGTCAAGGTCAAAAGGTCAAATTTGGTGGCACCCAAAGAAAGGTCTTGTCACAAGAAATACACATTTGAAATATGAAATTCATAGCTCCACTAAATCAAAAGTTATGGGTATGGTTAATGTTTTTGCGGACAAACAGACAAACAGAGAGACAGAGAGACAGACAGACGGACAGACAGACAGACAGACACGACAAAAACTATATACCCCCCGAAACTTCGTTTACGGGGGCATAAAAACAAAAGTAAGTTTTTATCATGCTTTGTAACCTCCTGTGCTGTACGAAAATACACGTAGAATCGTATATCCTACACTAAACACGGTAATATGCAGATTTTGCCCCATAAAAATAAGCAACTTTACAGTGTTTTGCATCATTGATCAATACTATAGCCTGATTGGTTAAATGCTGCAAGAAAATAATGAAATAATTATCAACGTCCTGTGTACCAGGTAAGACTGAAAATAGAAAACGTTATTACAAAAGAAACCAAGAAAGCTATTTCAAGGAGAGAGAGAGAGAGAGAGAGAGAGAGAGAGAGAGAGAGAGAGAGAGAGAGAGAGAGAAATTTATTGAATCACATTAAACGTTTAATGGAAACGGTCGGTTTCGTTTTCACAAAGTGTGATAGATCAAAAATAAATTAAAAAAGAATATCGAACTGGAAAAAATTCACTTTGTATCTTAATTCAAATTTTCTAATTAATCGTCTTTAAAAGTAATACGCAAGTACACTGTTTCCTCATGATTTTTTGCGTTAAGAGAAAATGATTCACCTTAAGGATTTGGTTACCTTTTAGGTAAGATATTTATTTGTACAATACTCACTTTTCAAAGCTATATTGATTTGTAAGAAATGATTTGATTTCATGATATAACAAAAATAATAACCTCTTTAATATCTCAAATCAAATACAAGGTTAATGTTCAGCAAATTATGTGTAATATCTTACGATGTTCTGATTAACAAATTAAGTGATAAATGAGAACATTAAGATGTGAGATTCTATTTCATAATTACATTCAATTTAATTTTGCTTGTTTATAGGTACATTTGTATTTCAAAACCGAGTTAGTTATAAAGATTGAAAATTAACTGTTCCTTAACATTCTTTTATCTACAGAATTATTTTTAAAAACTATTTAAGGTAAATGCTTGCAGAGTCTCACTGGAGATTACGTTGAAAAAATATGTCATCCTTAATTCACTTGCTTGATCAACACATTTTTTTTTTCATTTTTTCTCCCTGATTTCGATTTGTTTTGAAAGCATGTTTCATTTTTTTTTAATTCGTAATTTTTGATGTTCAATGTATTATTTTATTTCCCCTTTTTTCTTACAGAGTCCAAAGAATACATTTATTCATTCATTCAATACTAGTATTAATAATATGAAATATTTCTTTATTGAAGAAAAGTTCAAAGAAAGTTTACAATTTTCAAATATTTTATTGTAAGTCATGTTATTTTTAACAATTTTGAGACACTTATTAATTGAATTTTCTTAATGACTCGTATAATTTGTATATTTTAAATAGTAATCAGTATGCAAATTTCGGTGTAAATGTGTTTTTGAAACCATAAATTATTTTTTTTGAATAAAAATGATTCAAGTCTCGACTATAAGTAATAATAAATGAATGTTTAAGGACGGGAAAATAAAAAAAGATAAATCTATTTGTTTCTAAAACAAATTCTATATAAGATTGAACATTTCTGAAAAAAAATTATGTGCATCAAGAAACTCATTCATTTAAACTCACACTGACACAAACCATTAGAAGAGTGGGGTAGCGAAGAGGTTTGTGTTTTCAATATTAATCACTGTTATATTCAGACATGAATATTTCCTTGATCATGTTTATAGAGGTAATGTCAACATAATTAATACCTGATAGTGAAATACTAAAAAAAATATATAACAAAAATATAATGTCACAATAGACAAAACAAATAACAGTATCAGGACAAAATTCCCTAGTACTATGAATCTACACCCAAGATACAGATGATTCATTTGAAACAATACAGTATTTAATTTTTTTATTTAACAAAACAATCAATGCCTGTCTTTTCGGACAACATTGATTATGCTAGCCCCCTTGGATTGACATAGTTGTCCTTTGACCGAACTTCAGGTAATATCTAATCCAATGGATGTTTATACAAACAATGTTGCCTCCAACCCCAGTCAATATGCGTATATTTCCACGAGCTATGGAGAGAGTCCAAATCTTTTTCGTGTTAATAACTTGAACACTTAGGTGGAAATAAAATTATGTTTAATTAGTTCAATGAAAAAGAGGAACTAACAAAATTTGGTCATAAAAACATTATATTGACAGCAAAGTTTTACTTCTTATAAACTCAGACAGTGAGAATTATGTCAAAGAACAGGAACAGTTCCTTACATCATAAAGGTTTTTGCTTCTCTTCCACTGACGTATCATCTCGTATAGAACCCTGAATCCATTTGGAAATACAGGTACAAACTACAGATAATAAAATTGCTTTAGATTTGATGAAATCCAGTCATTTAAACCTGTGGTGTTAATACATCTACAACTGTAAAAAGTTAATTCCCGCTGTTTTTTTTTTTAAACAAAAGTTTTCATGAGAGTTATGCAAATCTCTGACACATCCCATTTGAAAGATTAAACATCTTGTTCTTAACAAAAAAAAAATGAAATTCTCTTGTTCAAATATATTATTTCAAAGGTGTACCTCTGAGAATAATTGGATCAGTGAGATTTATCCTACATCAGCCGTGAAATGATATTAATGAGCTCTACTCAATTAGTTATTGGATACAAAGTTTTATCCTAGACAACGCATGAAGAGAAAGGGATTCTTCGCATTTCAATCAATGCGTTTTTAAACCGTTTTCTTCATGCATTCTATCAACGTTAAGCACAATTTTCCTGTCATCAGATTTTAACATTATTTTATTTTCAGTCAATGTACATCTATATTCATTTTCGTTTCGTTTCAGACCAGGTGTGAAAAGATGTGTTTAAGTACTTTATACTGGATAAGTGATACAAAATATTCTCCAAGACAAGGTGTGAAAAAATATAGATTATGATCTTATAACCAGTGTGTTTTCATTTCTTTTCTATTTCTGTCAAGATCTTATGTGATTATCGGGGTTTTAGATTGTAAAGATAATTTTCTCTCAATGTTTACATTTTTTAAA